CTCTTTCTTAACGTAATGTAAATTTCGTGCTAGACTGTCCCACTTGCACAAAAACATGGATACTTTTTGAATCCAGACTGCTGAAAAGCATGGATTTTATTTAGAGATCTTCACAGGGTTGCCAACAATATTCGCTACACTTTATTTTACTTAGAAACAGCTCAAGATTCTCATATGTTTCTTTGAGATGCACGGAGTGAGCAATGGGCACTGAGGCATTACTATTATGCAACAAGACACCCTTCAGATGTTTCTTAGAAAAATCAATAAATAACCACCATGAATTGGAATTGTAATTGTCAGCTTCCAGTTTCATGACTACTTCAGGAATATTATGACAATCGTAAGCCATCTCAACAAAAATATTTCGCTAACTCTTTTTCACGGTACACGTGTTAACATAACACGAAAAAATGTGGTAGCTGAAGCTAATGGATTTTTATCTTTCTGTCGTATTCCTAAGATTTGTACAGCATCCTTCGATAGGCCCAAGTCTCTCTCCAAGTCATTTAGTTTAGCTTGGATAAAATTTTGAGCTTGGTCTATCCCAGGATTGAATTCGTCTTCATCGGCTTTTTCGTTTGAAGATTCATCTGATGATTGCTGTTGGGTGGTGTGAAGAAAAGGTGAAGGAATAGGGATTTCTGGTCTATGAGATACAGGTCGTTTAGCAGAAGGTAAATCAGGATATTAAATTTTGATTTATTTTTTGAATTGTTGAAAAAATGTGTTTCCCAAATAAGTGTTAACTTGGTTAATCATTTGTATTGAACCAAGTTATAAATAGTTATCAATAATTGGTTACTTTGTTTTTTCTTAATGAAGTTAAATTCATCTAATTCATATTTACAAGTTTTTTTTCAATTTATATTTATTCAGATAAAACACAAGTTAAAAAAAGTTAATTATCTAATACCTATTATAAAACTTTCTTTAACATCATCCTAATTATAATATCTTTTTCATAATAAATGTTCCGTAGCGTTTTCAAAATAATATTTCTCACGTTAAAAGTTAGTAGAAAGTTTTAATTGTATTACGACCACCATAAGTTTCCGGATATCTTCACAACAACCTCATGTACCAACAAAAACTTTTTAATGCAATAATATTATGTACATGGTAAGCAACTTCAATGCTTACATATTTACGAAATTGTTCAAGTTCCTTAGTTAAGCCGTAAATATATGCAGATATGCAATGAGAAGGCTACATTAGCTACACCTGCTCTATCTATATTAAATACGATGAGTATCACGATTGATATAATATGTTTATGAATATATTAAATTGTGTTTTAATAATTTTGATACTTTGTAAATAGTTATTATATATATATATATATATATATATATATATATAATATATATATATATAAATATATATATATATATATATATATATATATATATATATATATATATATATAAATTCTTTGGTAGATAACTTTCGGGAAAGCGTCAAATCAAGGATCAGCTAGAGATGGTATAAGCCAATTTGGTGTAGAACTTTATTCTAAATGTGAAATTTTTGGTGATAGGTTGTCACCTTAATCAGCACCTAAATGGAAAACCTATTTAGTACAAGTGGTGGAAATCAACATTTAAAAACCTACATTGAAAATGTTCAGTTAGTCCTAGTGGCGAAGAACACTGTCACAAATATGTTAAAAATATAAAAAAAATACATTTAAAAATTTAAATAAAAACATTACAACACAAAAGGGTATTTTTTCAAATACAACACAACAAAAAAATCTAAAATCTAAAAACCCACAAAAACCGCAACTTCATGTCAAAGGTAGAAAAGAAGAATTATTCTTCTTTTTTGTTGACAATGTTTCTGATTTCTGTCAATATCCCGATGTCATATGTAACAAGCTTATATTTACATCTACACCTCATGAAAGTTAGAAGGAATCTTTTAAGAACCAAAAACAGCAGGGAAATAAGTCTTTTCTCAAGTGCAGGTGTGTCATCTATGTATGTTATGATAAGTTCCCTACATTCTCCAATCTGTTATATCTTTTCAAGTCCTGCTGAAGCAAAAAAGAATAAATACAACTTAAGTTCTCAAAATCTTTTTTACAGTTCATAGAAGAGCTGCAGTTATGGATGTAGCACATTTCTATGAAATTTCTCTTAAATTGGTTGTCAACCCTTTTTAGTACTTGCACATTTTCATAGTTAGCAGTATGTCCAGTATTCTTAATATGTTGGCTAAAAGCTGTACTAGTAGGCTTCCTCACAACATCACTTTTGTGCAAAGCTATTCTTTTTGAGAGTTTCTGGCTAGTTTGACCGACATACACTTCCGAACAAGAACCACATGGAATATAATACACTACATTAAAGTTGTCCAGTTTTTAAACTCTTTCTGTCAGGTGAGTAAAGTATGTCCCTAATCTTTTCTACACTGAATTTGCTATCACTATGTTGAACTGTGTGAAAAGGTGTGTGATCTGTGGTGATAAACCTCTGATGTAAGGCAATCTCCCATAGAAAAGCTCTACTGTTTCTCCTTCTAATGTTTGTCTTTGGTGTATTCCCACTGTTGGCATATCTTGGAAGAGCAGTTTATTAAGAAGCATCTTAGGATAGTGATTTTTTCTAAGAATCTCATAAAGTAACTTGATGTTCTTATTGTATTTAGAAGGATGACAAATTCTTTTTATTCTGTTTTTCAGACCTTTGATGATGTTAATTTCTGCTCGTCTGGATGATACGAGTGAAAAGGCACATATCTACCTGAGAATGTTTTCTTTCTGTACCAATCCAACCTTACTATATTGTCCTCATATCTGGTTACATTTTTGTCGAGGAATGGCACACTATTATTTTCTTCTGTTTCGACAGTAAATTGTAGGTGAGTGATATATGAGTTGAAAACGTTAAGAGTGCAGTTGATTTTGTCTGCAGGGACTGCACATATGAGGTCGTCTACATATTGGTAAATAAAGGGGAACTGGAAATCAACTTCTTGAGTACAGTAGTGAAGTAGGGAGTTCATTACAATTTCTACCAAAGATAGGGATGTAGCTCCACCCATGGGTGCTCCTTTTATTTGGATGTAGAATTCATTTTGGGAAGTGAAATATATGTTGTTGTATAAAAAGGTAATCATAAAAAGGGAACTTATCATAACATATATAGATGACACACTTGCACTTGAGAAAAGACTTCATCTCCCTGCTGTTTTTGGTTCTTAAAAAGATTCCTTCTAACTTCCATGAGTTATAAGATGGTTTGTAAGAATGAAAGTTTAGCTAGTTTTTTGAGGGATAAAAGATAATCAGTTGTTTTCTAAGGGTGCAAGGCAAACAGTCGTTGTTCTCTTCTTGGTTCCCCAGAGATAGGAAGCAGTAGAAGTGAATGTTTGTGAGTTTTCGTGGAGTTAGTGTATCTGACAGAAGCTGATCCAGTAAAATATTGTAAGTTATATTTTCTACTTATATTCCAAGAGTCACTGTTTAGTCCAGAACAAGAGATTTAGTTTATCAAGAAGAAGGAGAAGAGGCTAGCATAATTTGAACGATACGTGCATTTGAAGGAGATTGATAGGCTCGCAACAATTTGTTGTAAGATTGCTGATTACCTAGGGGAGTGCTAATAATAGATAGGGTAGGCTACAAGGAACAAGGATTTAGAAAACTCATCATCAGAGAGATAGTCTTACTATTCATCAGTTTTTCTTTATTAAAAAAACAATTTTTGCAATTGCTTTAGAAAAGATAGGAATATTTTGATCAGGAGATTTAGAAACAATTTTGATTTGAGATTTTAATTTATATTGTATGTACCACTAATTTTAAAGGTTCATGTACGTAGAACAAAAGTTTGATAATCATTCTATGAGATATTTTTATTGAAGATATTTGAGTGTGAATTCTATTTCAATATATTTTTATTTCAATATATAATGTATCATATATGTTTTTTATTATTCCGGTATTCTTTGGACCTTATCTATCATATGTAAAGCATAGATATTGAAGCACGAATATAACCCTGAGATAAGAGAATTAAATAGTGTGATATAATCTTAACTGCATCATTTAAATAAGTATAATTGATTAATTAATTAACTACTTAATTGTATGGCGCACCTCAGACTTTTAATATCACATTAATATATATATATATATATATATATATATATATATATATATATATATATACATATATACTTGCTTTGACCAATACATTGATTTCCCTTCTAATCATTCTACTAAAGAGAATTTTTTTTGCAGGTAAGTGGCGCAGGGCACGTACAGAACTAATCCAAGGTAACTACTTATTTAACTTTAGTCTATATAATTATTGAACTTGTGAATGTCGTTTATCTCTCACATCGCGTTTCGGGTATTTTTGACGTACACAGAACGTATTGGGATAAATTACAATGACTCTCAAAACGAAACCACGAAGACCGTCGAAAACACACGAAGAATTGCTCTTTATGACCAATATGAATACCCACAAAGGCAAATACAGAAATCGCATATCGAATAATACCAGTAACACGAGTTTTATTCAGTGTAGTTTGTGATAATTTCTAATACAATGGGTGAACATTCTGGTGGATCAAAAGCCTTAACGAGAAATTTGAGGATGGTTTGGATAAATTTTACGTGGAGTCAAGTATTAGGTCTACGCTCTTTTTAGAAGGCAACTAAAAAGTTAAAGAAGCACAAGAATTGCAATGATTCAGCAAAAGGCTATTATCTAAAGATTATTAAAGACTCAATCGATATGAATTATTAAACATTGCAAAAAATAAACATCTGAACAAATGAGAAAACAAATTTCATTTTTGACATTAAGACGCAGTAAATGTTGAAATATAGTGCTAGAAATCTGGTGTTCTTATAGAGAATAATTACTTTTCCATTTTAATATAAAAATGACCACAAATGACTTCTTTTAGAGTTAATATTTCTTCCTTGGTTAACCTGTAGGCAATGTATTAGAAATAAATAAGAGATGCAAAGTTTGGAAAATTCATGGTACATCCTTACAAATTCTATTAATTTCTTCTTGTTCACAGCCACTAAGACTTAGACCCAAGGCATCTAATTTGGTATCGAGCGGTATGTTAGTTTTACTTTTTGCAGCCTCTACAAGTTGAGCTATCCTTTTTTGAGCTTCTTTCATGCCTGCTAAATGATGGTTTGTTCCTGGTCCTGGAGCTTGTCCTAATATATTTCCTGAAGAATCCAGTATAACTGCATTGGAATGTGTTGCTCCCCCTTCTATGCCACCAATTAATTTCCTAGACATATTAAAAGAATAACTTAAAATTTCACTCAAAATTGACCAAAAATAAATTATTCCCTTTACACGTTGACAACTACACGTATGCTTTTAAAAAAAGACAGCTGGTAAAGCATACGTGTAGTTGTCAACGTGTAAAGGGAATAATTTATTTTTGGTCAATTTTGAGTGAAATTTTAAGTTATTCTTTTAATATGTCTAGGAAATTAATTGGTGGTATAGAAGGGGGAGCATTCCAATGCAATTATACTGGATTCTTCAGGAAATATATTAGGACAAGCTCCAGGACCAGGAACAAACCATCATTTAGCAGGCCTGAAAGAAGCTCAAAAAGGATAGCTCAACTTGTAGATGCTGAAAAAAGTAAATTCTATTAAGCTCTAAATATTTTTTAGTATACATAAAATTTTAAAACTATTCTGTAAAATTTTTTTAATATCAATTTCCCAAAATATCCATTGTATACAAACAAGGCTGATATTGCTATGGCCGGAATTTTTAGTTCCGGAAACAGTCACGTTCGGGATGAAGAGAATTAATACTCTGTTCGCGAACGGGGATTTCAGTACAAATTTTAGTGAATGTGTAGGTAGGTAGGGTTAGAGATTATTTGATTGAACATCAAATCATCTTTTATCAAATAAATTAAATACCGCTATTTTTGAATTGTTATAGCACATCTGTTAAATATGAGGAAAATTGGTCATTTGTGGTGCCTAAAAATTCCATAAATATATATTTTGTAGACGGATCGTGATAAAAAAAGTTTGGTCCCATATATACCTTTGTCACTTTAAAAAGTATTCAGCAAGTGAATGCTGAGGTTTATTTGCTCACTTATGTTGGCAAAAGAAAGAAAAGTCAGCTACTTTATTGATTTACGCTTCGCTTTTTTCTTTTTTTCAGAAGCTTCTTCACTTCACTACAAATTTAATAATAAAGTTTAGAAACGAACGTCTACAATATTGATTACTATACATACAAAACAATTTGTAGTTTTCCAGATGTACCTACTAGAAACTGTAAAGTTACTCAGTATATAGAACAAATATCTTAGAAATAAATAAAGAGAACAAAACGGAGAAACTTCTTACCAAGCCTGAAACGTATAGCCCTATTTCATTATTGAGCACCTTACGTAAAGTCTACAAGAGGATCCTCAAGGAAAGTCTCGTAGAATTCCTGGACGCTTACCTCGTCATTCCAGATTCTTCTCTCTCCTGAATGTGGGCCTCTCCCAATTGCTTCCATCGTTCTCTATCTTGTGCCAATCTAATCCACTGTTTGCCTGCCACTGCTCTTATGTCATCTACCTATCTTTTTTGAGGTCTTCTCATGCTTCTTGTTGTCGTCCTTGGTCTCCATTCTAGAATTCTCCGTGTCCACCTGTTGTCATTATATCGGGCTACGTGACCTGCACAGCACCATTTCATTTTGGTCATTTCATGTTCTTCCACAATATCCATAATCTTCGTTCTACGTCTTATCTCGATGTTTCTAACCTTGTCTCGTAGTGATATTCCAAGCATAATTCGTTCCATTGCTCTTTGCGTTGTTTCTAATGTTTTAGCAGATTTTTTGGTAAGGCATACTGTTTCCAAGCCGTAGGTACAAACTGGTAGTATGCATGTCCAGACTACCAATTCGGATTTAGGACTGGCCACTCCACGCAAAATGCATTGGTTGAAGCAACTTTCATTTCACAATCCCTTAACGAAAGCAAACACGTTATAGGCATATTTCTAGACGTCTAGAAAGCATTTAATCAGGTCTGGCACACAGGTTTGATTGAAAAACTCTACCTTGCTGGAATGTCCACAGCACTGGCCAATTGAAACCTCAATACTCCGGGAGTATTGGATTTTAGGAAGTGTAGAACTTCAAATTTCAGAAGAACTGGAAGAGGGGTGATGAAAATACTAAAAATATGGCTAAGCTCAGAATAACAAATTTAAATGGCCAAATAGACACTAAATCTCAAGTTAGTGTTCGGGCTAGCTTCAATGCACTGAATTGTGGCTTTATTTAATTTCTTGCTATGGTAGGCTATAGCAGATGGACTCTACCTGCAACATAACCTAACCGAGAAGTATAACGACCATAGGCAGTCACTAGGGGAACCAACAAAAGAACCAATTTTCACTTTTAAATCTGCAAGAGTAGCCTCTATTTCAGAAATCTCATCACTAAACTGAAGATGGGAAGCTGACAAAACAACATGACTCATATTGGCTGATTATTGCTTTATAGCACCTCTCAGAACAACTTTTTTTCATCACCTGTTTTTAACAATGGACTGGTTAGATGACGGACTCTCAACTCATACTCTAATTCAGGAGCTAACAGATGCTCTACCTTGAAAGCAGACATATTACATAACTAAGAAATATACTAGAGAATGAGTAAAAGTAGGCAAAGTTTAACTTACTCTCTGACTCCAACTTAATATTCTGAAGGGATACCTATACCAGTAATGTTTAATTGTTTTGGTCCAGTTATGAAATCCAATGAAATATACTGCTACAACACCCCAAGGAACCTAAAATTTCAAAAAAACTGTTATTTCGATGTAGTGACTCAACTTATTGACTACTCCGGACTTGTAAGATATGTAAAATAGTTAAGTTTATGTTATTTAAATTTTTAATTAATTTATTATTAATCTAAAATAGTTATTTAACAAATCAAAAAAACAAAGCAATTTATTCAGTCTACACAGTATATAGCAAAACAAGTCGATTTAAGATATAGATATAAGGTAATGTCCAAAAAAAAAATTGAAGTACAAAACTAAACGTTAAAATGAAAATCTAAAAGCACAACCAGTGAAAACCACAACAACCCAAGATCAAAATCAAAAGTTAAAGTAGATGTATATATTTTTTTAAGGCAGAAGTGGAAAAGAAGCCACACGTTGGGTCTAGTCAATTGAATCTATCTCTTCATTGCTCTCTCCTATCTCTCCAATCGGACAATCGGGATCAAAGTTGGTGATATTTTATCCACACCTTTTACTTTACAAGCCGAAGTACCCCAGGGCTTAATTCTTGCTTTAATTCTATACACAGTCTACACTTGTGACATCTCCTACCCACAGCATAGATCGAAGACCCTTCTTCTGTACGCTGATGGCACTGCTCTTCTCACCTTAGGACCACATAGAGAACGTGAACTGTATTCGAAAGAGCTCAAAACCAGGATGGAGGGTGACCATAAATCCCTTCAAAACACAATTAATTTTATTTAAATCTTTAAATTGCCGAGAAGTCCATAGCCGGTAACAATGTTAAGAGGGTACCTTATTCTCAGAAACACGGTTTCCTTTTTGGGAGTTTATATAACCTGGACTCTTTACTGGAAAACTGACATTCAAGACACTCTAGATAGGGTGAAAAGAAAGTTTAATCTCCTGGGAATGCTGGCCGGCAAACTGGGCAAGACGTCATCTAGAACATCATTCTTCTTCTTCTTTAAGTGCCGTCTCCTTTAAGAAGGTTGGCTATCATCACGGCTATCTTCACCTTTGACACTGCTGCTCTAAACAGCTCAACAGAGTTACAATTGTACCACTGCCTCAAATTGTTTAGCCAGGATACACGTCGTCGGCCTATGCTTCTTCTGCCCAGTATCTTTCCCTGTATAATGATCTGCAGCAACTCATATCTCTCACCTCTCATGACATGACCCAGATACTGCAATTTTCTTATTTTAATTGTATTTAATATCTCCTTTTCCTTGTTCATTCTTTTTAAAACGTCGTTGTTCGTAACCTTATCGATCCAACTTATTTTTAAAATTCTTCTATAAGCCCACATCTCAAACGCTTCTATTCTGTTACTTATATCTTTTTTAAGCGTCCAAGCCTCCATTCCATATAATAACACAGAAAATACATAACATCTAAGCATTCGTACTTTAAGTTGCAGACTCAGATCATTGCTACAAAGTACTTTTCTCATAGTATTGAATGTTGATCGGGCTTTTCCTATACGTGATTTGATTTCCTGTGTGTAATCGTTGTTTTCGGTTATGATTGTTCCCAAGTATGTATATCTGTTCACCTTTTGAACGAGTTCGTCCCTAATCCATAACGTGTCCTGTTGTTGTGTCTTTGCGATGGTCATGAATTTCGTCTTTTTGATATTTAAAGTAAGTCCAGCCTCTTCGCTACTGTCTACAATCTTATTTATCAGAACCTGCAATTCTTCAACTGACTCTGCGATTACTAAAGTATCATCGGCGTATCTGATGTTATTTATAAGTTCTCCGTTGACTTTAATTCCACTTGATGTTTCCTTTAGTGCCTTCTGAACTACCTCTTCTGAATAGAGGTTAAAAAGCAGCGGAGACAATATGCATCCCTGCCTTACCCCTCGTTGTATTTCTATTTCTTCTGATAGTTCGTTGCCAACCTTTACAGATGCAACTTGATTAAAGTAAAGGTTTGATATTATTCTAATATCTTTCATATCCAGATTTTTATCTTGAAGTAGCTGTAGGAGGCGATTATGTCTGACTTTGTCAAATGCCTTATTGTAATCAAGGAAACAGACATAAAGAGGTTGGTTAACATCCATACATCTTTGGGCCAATACATTCAGGGCAAACAAGGCCTCTCTTGTACCCATTGCGTTTCTGAAGCCAAACTGCGTGTTACTAATATCTTGCTCCAGTTTTCTGAAAATTCTTTGATGTATAATTTTCAGGAATATCTTTAGAGTGTGGCTCATTAAGCTGATGGTTCGATGGTCACAGCATTCTCTAGCGTTAGCTTTTTTCGGTAGAGTCACGAACGTCGACTTAAGCCATTCTTTTGGAATGACGCCTGTATCATATATGGTGTTGTACAAGTCTTTTAGTATATCTATTTGATCTTCTGCGATTAATTTTATAATTTCCGCTGGTATCTCATCAGGACCTGTAGCTTTATTATCTTAACATTGCACACTATTATCTTAACATCATTGCACACCTATAAAACGTTCATTAGACCGATTATCGAATGC